CGAATATACTATACTCACGAAATGAACGCTATGGTAAACGACACGGCTCAATTCCAACGCAATGTCACACGAAATAATCAAAATGAAAATAAATCAAAATCTATGAAAATTCAATATAACAATGCAATTGGAAACATTGAAATGAAATCATGAAATATTTAGTATAGCGTGTGTTGCTTTTACGTCCCCCAGATGGCGTTGGTTTTCAAAAAAGCATGTTTTTACAAAAGGATCGTTGGCTTACCTGAACGCTCGTTCTCAGGCGCTGCGAGGAGAGTCCAAGCGTGGGTTAACGTTAACACAGCCTATCTGCCCTTAGACTGAGTAATTTTTTTCTTGACCACGCCTCCCTTTGCCTCTCCATGTTCAGTTTAAAAATGAAAGGACAATCGTATGGTAAGAGTTCACAGTCAATAATACAGTCACAGTTTGTAAACAACCCCACTGGCTGGGTTTGGACTCTCCTCGCAGCACCCTGAGAACGACCGTTCAGGTAAGCCAACGATCCTTCTCCAGTGCGCTCCTTGGAGAGTCCAAGCGTGGGACATGACCAAGCTACTGAGTCCCAGGGTGGGTAAGAACCGGAGCCTCCGGAGTTTCAGCAACTCTTTGCAAAATTCTTCTTCCGAAGGAGGCTTTGGCTGAGGCAAAGGTGTCTATTTTATAGTTTTTTATAAAGGCGGTGGGGGAAGCCCACGTGGCCACCCTGCAAATGTCCAAAATAGATGCCTGGGTCGCCCAGGCTGCTGAAGCTGCCGCGCTCCTAATAGAGTGTGTGGTAACCTTGCACGGGGCCGACTTGCCCTGATGCTCATACGCCAGCTTAATGCAAGCGCATAGCCAACGACCTACATTGTGAGACGAGACCTTGCGGCCGAGAGACCCGGGAAAGAAAGAGATGAAGAACGCCTCTGAACGACGGAATTCCTTAGTCCTCTTTACATAAATGCGGATGGCACGCCTCACGTCCAACTTGCGCCATTCGCGCTCTCTAGGGTGAGAAGGTTTAGGACAAAGGTTAGGCAATATAATCTCTTGAGATCTATGGAACAGAGAGTTAATTTTAGGGGTAAATGATGGAATCGTGAAACAAGCTGAGAACCCAATGGCAGGACAACACACGGATAATGTAACAACAACTAGCGCACGGCGTGCTGTAATCCGTGACGTCCTGCCCCTGGCCTTCACAATGCAACGGTCACTGCCTTATGGACGTTGACATTTACGAAGATTAAGTCCAAGTCCAAGGTAAATGAAGGATCAAGTCTCAATATAACCCTGTCAGGGTGGATCACGCACAAGTCCTCCCTGACTGAGAGAGCCGCCAGTTCGGACACCCTGCATGCAGAAGTGATAGCCACCAGACAGGCAATCTTGATGGTTAGGTGGTGTAGACTAGACGTACGCAGAGGCTCAAATGGGGGACCCGTCAGAGCCATTAAGACAAATGGGAGGTCCCAGAACGGGTATCGGTGGACCATCGGTGGGCTGATGTTTGCTGCGCCCTTCAGAAAGCTCTTAATTTGAGGGTGCTGGCTCAGAGAACGAGACGAACCCCTGGCTAAGATGGTCGATAGCGCTGCAACCTGACGCTGGAGTGTACTGGGTGCCAGACCTTTTTCCAGACCTTCCTGTAGGAAGTTCAGGGTCTGAGGGACTGAGGCAGAAAAGTCAACAATGCACCACGATGAAAAGGCGGCCCAGGTCGCATCGTATATTCTGGTAGTGGAGGGTCTCCTGGACGTTTGTATTGTTCGTATGACCTTGTCAGAGATGTTCTGTTTCCTCAGGAGGTTCCCCTCAAGTGCCAGATGGCTAGTTGTAG